AACAACCACAATTTGTGATTCAAGAGAATGTGGGAATTATCAAACAGTATTATTATTATTACTACATGCAAGCAAATGACAGCTGAAGATCATTCAAAAACAGTACACAGAGAATTGACAGATGTTCAAGCAGGATTTAGAAGGGGCCATGGCATCAGGGCTGTCATGGAGGATGATGATAGATGGATTCATCTATCTACAGGATGTTAGATAGATTCTTGCTGAGAGCAAAGAATATATATATTTTAACAATGTCTACTTGTGCTTTATTGACTATGCAAAGTCATTTAACTGAATGGAACATAGCAAATTATGGTTAATTTTTAGAAGAATGGGAACCCCAGAATACTTAATTGTGCTCATGCGAAACCTATATTTAGACCAAGAAGCTATTGTGCTAACAAAGCAAGAGGATACTACATGGTTTTAAAAAAGAAAGGTGTGTTTCAGGATTGTATCCTTTGTCCATACGTATTTAATCTGTATGCTGAGAAAATAATTTGAGAAGCTGTACTCTATACAGAAGAAAGTGGCATCTGTTTGGAGGAAGACTCATCAAGAACCTACTTTATGCAGCGGACACAACCTTGCTTGCTCTAAGAGAGGATTTAAAGAACTGGCTGCAGAGAGGATTTAAAGAACTGGCTGATGAAGAGAAAAGACTTCTGTCTTCAAACATGGATTACATCTCAACATTAATAATAGAAAAAATTTCACCACTGGACTGATAGACAACCGCATGATAGATGGAAACAGACTGAAACTGTCAATGACTTCCTCTTGCATGGGTCTACAATCAGTACAGTTGTATCAACAGCCAGGAGATCAGGAGACGTATTGCACTGGAACAGTATGCAGTCAGGAACTTCTTCAAACTACTAAGAAGCGGAGAATTGAGTTTGAGGAGTAAGTTGCATGAGATTCAGATGATGGTCTTCTCAATCACTTGCTATGCTGTTGAGAGCTGGACAGTGATTAAGGATGACAGAAGAATTGATGCCTTTGAACTATGGTGTTGGAGAAGAGTACTGAATATTCCATGGACTGCCAAAAGAACAAGCAGGTATTACTTGGAGAAAGTGAAGCCAGAGTACCTGGAGGAAAAGTTGATAAAGCTTCATCTCATATACTTTGAGGATGTTGCTAGGAGAGGTTGTTCCTTGGAGAAGAACATCATGCTTGGAAAGATGTAGGGATGTAGGAAGAGAGGAAGATCTTTAACTAGATGGCTTGACATAGTGACTGTAGCAATGGGCTCAAGTGTGTCAGAGATTATGAGGCTAGCACAGGTTAGAACAGGGTTCAGGTCTGGTGTTCACAGGGTCACTATGTCAATGACACCTAACAAAAGCAATGTCAAGCAACTAGCCTCTGGAGCTCTTGTAAGGGAGTGCAAAGGGAGTAGTGCTGCTTACCCAAAGGCTGCTCCTCTTGGAGTGTTCAAATCAACCTGCCAGTCCCTGGGAGGAAGATGGGAAATCTCTTTCATGTATCATAGTTTCTGAAAACCTGCCAGTGCGTCAGCTATGAGCTGGTTCTGACTAGACAACAATGAGTTTAAGTTTTAACTATCTTCAACTTTGTCTCAACTTTCTCCTTCCTTACTCTTTCCAGTAATGCCAGTTATGTTCCAGATTCTTCCTCCCTCTCACCTCTTCCTTGGCTGCTCTGCCTGCTTCTTGTTGATAGCTGCAGCCTCAGTCTGTTGGACTCCATGACCTGTGTCTTCCTTTCCCAAACTGGGTTTGACTGTGACCTTTGATGTTCTTACTGTTCTTGAGTAAACATCTGTAGTATCATCGCTGAGCGGCATAATACATATCAGGTTTCCTATTTAACTCCCCCATTGGAATTTAAGGTCTTTGAAGCTAGAATATGTACTTGTTTCCTGTTTCTTTAGCATTCAGAAGGATCATCAGCACTTGAGTATTGATAGCGTAAGTGAATAAAGGAGGTGTCTATGGAGTAGTATATCTTCTTGTTTGCTAGTACCCAGCATGTTTAATGGCAACGAATTTGAAAATTAATTTCACTTCTGATTCGTCTTATCTTTGATCTAGAGTCATTTACAATTGATTGCTGGCTTTACACCAGCTGCTCCATAGGAGAAAGCTAGCGAATCTCCTACCATGTGATTATTGTCTATGAAAATGCTCTGAAGGGTCAGCTGTGGGTCTGTTCCATTTTGATGGTATATAATAAGAAAAATTATAATAAAAATTTTTATATAATTTATATTTTGTATAGTGATTACCTTTTTTTTAAAAAATTCAATCCCTCTAACTTTTTGGGTTGCCAGTCAAAAGGTTGATTATTTAAATCCACCGGTGGCTCCAGGGGAGAAAGATTTATACCCTCAGAAACATCATAGAGGGTCACTACGAGTCAGAATCTACTTGAAGGTTGTGATTATTTTGATTTTTTAAATTGATGTTTTTATTTCTTTACACAAACAAAACTTGATAAATTGACTGGGAATTTAAATTCATTGAGGGTTTTTTTTGGTGGGATTTTTGTTTGTTTTTTTTTTGTGTGTGTGTGTCTATAGTCATAATATAGCCCCTTGTAAGAACATTTTCATGGTTTCGTGCACTTTATTTACTCTCTCTACAGTGTTTTAAAAGCCTGCCTCTTTTATATACTTCTCAGTGGTTTAAAGGCAAATATTCAAGGAAGAAAAAGTGCTTTAGCACCTCTAAGTATTTGAACAGAAGGGAAACACATTCTTTAGTACTATGATGTTTCCCTTTAGAGTGTGACATAAGAAAGAGAAGAGGTGAGAGAAAGAAGCCTAGTATATGAAAGATAATTACTTTGGATTTTAGGAGAGTCCTTTATCAATCTGTGAATGGTTTTAATTACAAACACAAAATTGTCCTGAGTGGAACCCTACCAGAGTTTAAAAATCTCCTCTGTCATTTTCCCCCCTCTCAAGTATCCTGTTTTATTAAAAATATGAAAAACCCAAGTTACCTGAGGATGGCTATTCTAGTGATATTTTAGAGTAATAATGAGTGGAGTAGACCAAATCTTATAAGAAATCCTGTTTTTATAAAAAGATGTTTTAGGGCAGAGTTTCAGACTCTAAAAAATTATTGATGGTTTTTATAAAAAGATGTTTTAGGGCAGAGTTTCAGACTCTAAAAAATTATTGATGTTTCACATCTAAACAAATATTCAAGTCTTTGATACATTTTTATTGCACTAAAGGTTAAGTCAACTGCACATAGTATTTCTTCATTTCTTTGTGTGTTGTTATTTTTTTTCTGCTATTGTTGTTAATAGTTGGTGTTGCCATGCAGGACCCAACATCCAGCCACAGGCATGCAGAAAGCTTGCAGCTACTGTTACAATCAATGCTAATGTTACTCTTTAGCTAGCTAGAAATTGGACCTGGGTATTTCTCTGGAGTCCCAAATCCTCAGGTCATAACACTAACATCTCCCAGCACACAACCCAATCTTATTTAACCCTGCTTCTGGGCATTGTACGTTTTAAAACTATTTTACTTTCCTGAACAAGTCTCCAACTGACTGATGCTCTGGGTATATGCTATTTTTTTCATATAGAAGACAATATATTACAAGAAACAAACAATATGTCAGTACAAATTAGGTTTGTGCACACATCTTGCAATTAATGATGCAGAGAACTTATCTTAATTTTTTAAAATGCAAAAGGATGCTTACAAATTGAAGATAAGGGTAATTGACTTTCAAATGCATCTAATAACTAACATAGAGGTGCAATTTTGGATTATGACGTTTTTATTTTTAATTACTAGTGGATCATCATCCAGTTAGAGTAAAAATAGATTTGTGGAAATCTTTGAAGTGAAGGGACAGCTCCAGGAGGCCATCTATGCATTGTCTGGCTGTCATCTCCAGATGACTAAAGAAATAGAGAAATCTTTGTGTATTGAAATACATTATCAAGAGCTGATGAGTCCAACTCATGATATTGGTGAATCAAGGCTCACTATGTATCTTCCCACAAAATCTCTTTGTAATTTTCTTTTCTTTTTTTTAGTTGTTAGTTACAGTTCATTTGGTATTTGTCAAAAAGAAATGGACTTTCTTTCCCCAAAAGGCCTAATTTGATTTGACACATTGCTTGGAATCCATACTTAAGATCATCTATTTGAATATGCTGCAAAGGATGATTTCCTGACTCTGGTGTCTAATTCAGCTAACAACCAGGAATATTCCAGTGCACTTTGAATTTTAATCCAATTCTTCTGTATTAAATAGGTACAGAAGTACAACAATCAGCTTGGGGTTAGGATAACGAGAAATTGAATCAGTGATTGGGAGCTGGGAGTACAAATTAACATTCTACTTACAGGATTTTCTCATTTAATAAAATGCATTTAAACAGAGGACACCATTGGTTCTGCTGTAGAATTTTCACCTTTCAAGTGAGAGACCCACTTTCAATTTCAAGTCAATAAATCTCACATACAATCACTACTCACTTGTCACATGATCCTGGTAAAGGTGGAGAGTGAACGAAGGAGAGGAAGTCCCTCAACCAGACAGATTGACATGGTGACTGCTGCAACGGACTCTTGTGTGTCAGAAACTGTGAGGGTGGTGCAGAATACAACAGGGTTCAAATCTTCTGTTCATAAGTTCACTATGAGTTATACTCAACTTGACGGCAACTAACAACAACCACCACCCACTTGTCAGCAAAGGCTTGTGTGATACTGAGTAGGCTGAAGGGGATTATCCAGGTTAAGACATTCTAGGTAGAAAGTCCTGGAGAATGAATACTTCAGAAAATGAGCTAATCAAATGTCTATGAATCACAGTCTTCAGCATAGGGCCATTATGAGTTGGAAGCTGACTCCATGGCAACTGAGGGCACTAATAACAATTTGAGTATTATATTCTGACTCTTGGGATTTTATTTGCTTCAAACAATGTCCCTTCTCTCTTGTCCACATCACTAGACAGGTGAGCCAAATGAAGGCCATTAGAATCTCCTTCTCACAAGAATTAAGTACTAGATTCTGATTTTCCATCACAATCCATAAGTTCACCTCTACTATCATCCATCTTGCCATCCCTTGAGTGCTCTGACTGGATGTCTGGAGGGGTCTGAAGGACAGCCACACTATTCTGATTGATAATCTTCAATTTTAACTTTGGTTTGGATCGTTTTCTTCTTGGAACTGTAACTGTGAGACTCTGTAACTGGGTCATCCCTGATTCGGTCAAGCACACACCATCCTGGGTGTAGGTTTTGGGTGGATCTAAAAATTACAGGATCCCAAAAATACAAATGAGAACTTTTATTTTAAAATTAATAACTTAATCAGAATTTCAAAATCCTCATATTAAAGGAATGTGACTTACAAAGCAGTTATCCTTAACTTGACACTGAAGAATTAATTATTTAAACAATTACGTGTGCGTAATGCCTGATAGTACACAACTAAAAAAAAGACTAAATTGAATGGCCAAATTTTCTTACATTATAAACCAAAAAATGTTTTCTCTAAAAAAAAAATCATGCTACTGGTATTTATATTATTTTATAGTAATACAAGGATGGGGGGGGGAAGAAATGAAGAAAAAATTAATGCATTAGCTAATCTACCAGGAGTCCTTTTACTACAATATTCTTTCAGATCAAAAGATTAGACTTAATTTACGTAACTCAAAAAAACCTGAAATGTACTGGTGCTGTGTTGGAACTGACTCATAGCTGAACTTCCAGTAGGCTTTGAGAGGCTATGTAAATCACACGGCAGAAGACTGCCGTGTTTCTCCTGCAGAGTCACTGGTGGATTAGAACTGCCAGAGCAGTGGTTAGAGGAGATCAATGTCCTACGGACTAGGTCACCAGAGCTCAATGAAATTATGTAACTGAAATAAAAATATTCCAGACATCAATCTGAAAATCAAATTATCAATATAATTACTTATAAGGAGGCGAAAATGAATAATAATTAGAATTTCTGCATATTTAGGTTTTAAATGTTTAAGGCTACATTTAAATGTCATTAGGATAATTTCTATATTACCTAAAAGTTCTTACATCAAATGCTATCAGTAAAAGCAGGTTACTAAAAGTACCACATTTAATTATTGATCAAGGTTGACAGTTTCACAAAATAACACACCGAATCCATTCTGAAAGAATCTGTCTGCTTGCTTACTACGTATTAGTTTTTTTGCTATCTAACAAACTTAGTAATATATATGAAGTCAAAGTAAGTAGCATTAATGGTTATTTTAAGTTACTCTTTTATTCCAATTTCCGTAGGGTTATAGGACTATTACTCCACTAAAACTGAACAAGACTTATATTGTATATGGAATGAAGATATACAGGGTAAAAGCATGCTTCATATAATAGAGAGGTAATTCAGTTATAGAAAAATGAACCATTTATACACTTTTTGGAAAGAATAATCAAGTAAAGCATTTCAGATTTTACCTAGCTCTTTTACTTTTGTGACAATTTGTGCTATAAGTGAAGAATCACAGCAGTCTGAGGAAGGCACTGAAATGGAAAAAAAGTTAATTTTTTTAAAAGAAGTGAAATATATTTAAAGATGAACACATAAGTGAAAATTCCATTTCTTTACCTCATTTCATGAAAATAATTGTTTGATGGCTAAAAGCTGTCTTTACAAGAAGTAACAGTAAAGAAAAATACCAAGTTATAGAGAAAAACTGGCAAAGATAAACAATCACTGTACTTAATTATGCACAGGATTATGCAATATAAAATACTGCTAATAAAACAAGATAATGTTTCTTGGAAGCAAAATATCTTATATTTAAAATGGATGCTTCATTTACTTCTGTAAATGGTTTTAATATAAAGTTGAGGTACTAAGAATGGATTTTTTTTAACACGGTATCTTAGTTTTTGTAAAATAATTGTCAAAAATAGTACCAGACTGAAGAGCCTTCATGGTGATAGACAGCAAGGTGTCTGTGGAGCACCAATGAATGGATGCTGCTGAGTTCTTCCCTTACCATTTGATGTCGGTATGTAGGGTCTGCACATGCTACAGTCAAAACCAATGTCTGCTACATTTTCCACTTCCTCCTCAGTACTTAAATTTTGACAAACTGCATGTATCCATCTATCACACTGTCTACATTGCAGGATAAGATCTTCTTCTCGATAGTTTTGGCAGCAGACCGGGCATGAGGATAGGCTTGCACAAGGAGCACACTGTGAGTAATTATTTTGCCATTCACACCTCAGACCAGGAGATGTTGCTCCACAGTGTCTGCACCAAACACACCATTTGCACTTCCAGCCTCCTTTGGGAACTGTCTGCAGTGGAGGGTCTAGGCAGTAGGTGTGATAACTTATGTCACAATCATCACAAAGAAGGAGTCTTCCTGGATCTGTAGCTTTCCCACAGGCTTCACAAACAGTGCACTCAAGACACCGCCAAGAATCTAGTCCTGAGAGGGAAGCTGTGGATGATGAGACTAAGGGAGTAGAAGGAGCAGAGGGTATCAAAAAAAGAAAAAGAAAACCATACAGACCAGGTATTGGTGGGTTTATGGTTCGGCAAAGAAGTCGAACTGGACAAGGAAAAAACCAAAAGATCTGTGATCAGAAAAGATTCTTCAGGCTCTGTCTCTGAGCAGTTACCTAGCAGAGATGATGGCTGGAGTGAGCAGTTACCAGATACTCTAGTTGATGAATCTGTTTCTGTGGCTGAAAATACAGAAAAGATAAAGCAGAGACACCGAAAAAGGAAAAAAATAAGCTTGAAGAAACCTTCCCTTCCTACTTACAAGAAGCTTTCTTTGGAAAAGATCTTCTAGATACAAGTAGACAGTACAAGCTGAGTTTAGATAATCTATCAGAAGATACAGCTCAACTTTCATGTAAAACAAATATGAACCCAAATTTCTTGGATCCTTCCTTTGATCCACTACTTAGTTCATCCTCAACTTCAGGAAAACCTGCAGCCCAAGGTGCTACCGATGATCCACTAGCCGATCTTTCAGAAGTGTTAAATACAGATGATGATATCCTTGGAATTATTTCAGATGATCTAGCAAAATCAGTTGATCATTCAGCTGGAATAGATATTGGTCACGTCGCTGATGATCCTTCTTCTCTGCCTCAGCCAAGTGTCAGTCAGAGTTCACGACCATTAAGTGAAGAACAACTAGATGGAATCCTCAGTCCAGAGCTAGACAAAATGGTCACAGATGG